GTAGTGGAAGGAAAGCGGGGTAGGGGTCGGCCTAGGAAAGGTTGGAGGGAGGGGGTAAAGGAGGTTTTGTGTGCGAGGGGCTTGGACTTCCAGCAGGCATGCGTGAGCGTGTTTGATAGGAGTGAATGGAGACAAATGGTTTTTAATACTTGACGTGCTGTTGGAGTGTGAGCTAATTAACATTTATGAAGGGGTTCAGGATAACCGGCAGGCCGGACTTGAGTCCTGGAGATGGGAAGTACAGTGCCTGCACTTTGAAGGTGGGGTGTTAATGTTGCAGTTTAAAAACTGTAGTGTAAAGCACCCTTCTGGCAAGACAGTGATGGAGTGAATGATGGTAAAAGTTTTTCTTTTTCGGGTCACCCTGCCTTGGTGGGAATCGGCCAGTGTGATAATAATATATATATATATATATATATATATATATATATATATTATATATATATATATATATATATATATATATATATATATATAACTACCAGGAGCAGCAGTCATTGCCCCCACAAATAGTGTCTTGCTAGGAGCACCTCTGGGAAGCAATGCCATTGACACAATTCTCAGGAAGAAATTGGAAGAGTTAAGGAGAATGGAACAACGAATAGGCAATCTGGACACCCACGATGCCTTGTACCTTCTCACAAAGTGCTTGAGTCTGCCCAGGTTGACATATTTCCTAAGATGTGCACCTGCATATGATAACCCTGTACTGCACGAATATGACAGTATTCTGAGGCAGATTTTTACGAAAGTAATTAACCTTACTCTAGAAGACGGGCAGTGGAACCAAGCTACACTTCCAGTCAGACTAGGAGGCATTGGTGTCCGCAAGTCATCACAGATTGCGTTACCTGTTTTTCTGTCCTCGTGTATTGCATCCAGAGAGCTTTTAGCAGCGATTCTCCCTGAACATCTTAGGGACAAGATAGGAGTCCAGGACCAAAAATTCATTGACGGAGCAATGATCTGGGATAATCTAACGGGCTCTGGAGCCAGACCTGCTCCCCAACAACTACAAACAATCGCACTGGGATGGTCCAATAGTGGAAAATATTGCCTCAACAATGCTTCAGAGTGTGTCAGGGAAGGATAGAGCCCGCCTCCTGGCAGTGAGAGCCCCTCATGCTGGGGACTTTCTGTTGGCTGTTCCCAACTCCAGCCTTGGCACACGTCTCGACCCACAGACCATCCGCATCGGTGTTGCCCTTCGACTTGCCGCCCCTATTCTCGCCGAACACAGGTGTATTTGTGGCAGTGAAGCAGCAGACCGATTCGGGTACCATGGTCTTGTGTGCCGTAAATCCGAGGGAAAGATTGCAAGACATGAGGAGGTTAATAACATTATCAAGAGGAGCCTCACAACAGCTGGATGCCCAGCAGTAAGGGAGCCACCCCAACTATGCAGATCTGATGGCAGCCAGAAGCGTCCAGATGGTATCACCCTTCAAGCCTGGACAGATGGGAAGCAGGTGGTGTGGGACTATACATGTGCATCTACCTTGGCTGATACCTATCTCCAATACACCAGGGAGGAAGGAGGGGCAGCTGCCAGCTTCAGGGAGTCCCAGAAGTCTAGAAAATATGGAGAACTTGCCCATCATTATATGTTTGTTCCCATAGGCTCAGAGACCCTTGCCTCATGGGGAAAGAGTGCATCTAAATTCCTTAAGGAGCTGGGAAAAAGACTCATCAGGGTAACTAGGGATCCCAGGGCAGCTAGTTTTCTGTTCCAGCGGCTCAGTGCGGCTGTTCAAAGGGGTAATGCTTGCTGTATTTTGGGTACACGCCCCAGATCTGAGGAGCTGGATGAGATTTTCACCTTATAATCGGTGATACACACGTAACAACATGTACCGTATATGCCACCTTTATATCAACAATGTATCTCTTAAATCTTCTGTACCATATTATGTAATAAAATATTCCTATTAGTAAAAAAAAATAAATATGAAAAGATGGGGTGGTAGGGGAGAAATCCAAATATTTTTCCTTGAAGCCTTTTTATCCACTTCTCCGAGGCTATGGGTCCCACAATTTACACCAGAGGTGGACCCCATCATATATATATATATATATATATATATATATATATATATATATATATATATATATATATATATATATATATATATATATAATATATATATATATATATATATATATATATATATATATATATATATATATATATATAATATATATATATATATATATATATATATATATATATATATAATATATTATATATATATATATATATATATATATATATATATATATATATATATATATAGTATGTAGGTCGTGCCGAATATGTAAAACTGGTCAATTAGCAAGAAGTCTTTTAAAATTAAGTCCTTTCTGAAATTTTCTCTTATACGTTTAAAGATATATTTTTTTCATTAATAGTGATGTATTTTTTTTTAATTTTGCACCAAAAGAATCTTAGAAAACTTACCTAACCTTATTATAGCAAGAACAATTTATTTTAGCCTAACCCAACTAAATATATTTTAGATTTGTTTACAAACACAGTGAAATACATCAAGGAAGTACTCAATGAATTAAATGCAATGTTCGCAGCTTTCACAGTGACCCACAAGAAGGATAATTTTGATATCGTAATATAGATCCCAGGTTATAACCTATTCAGATGCGACAGACTAAACAGGTAACAGTTGGGGGTTGGCTTGTACGTCACAGTCGCTCATTTGCTCTGAACTACTAAACATTTCAAATGATGTAGTTGAAGTTTTGGCAGTAAAGATTGAAAATAAAAACCTTTTCATTGTGGTTGTATACAAGCCTTTGGATGCAACTTCCCTGCATTTCCAGGAGCAGCTTTTGAAAATTGGCCACTGTCTGGAAAATCTCCCAACTCCTGCCCCAAACAACTGCTACTGGGAGATATCAACCTGAGACACCTAAAATGGAGGAGTGTAACAAATTTTATTTTAGCAGAGATCACCCCAAATGAAAATTCACACACACAGCAGCTATTAAATTTCTGCACCAAATTCACTTAAAGTCAACAAATAGTGAAGCCTACAAGACTAGAAAATATGGTAGGCCTCATCTTCGCTAACAACGAGGATGTGATACATGATATAACCTTGTCAAAGATAATTCACTCAGATCACAACATAATAGAGATGCAGACATGTATGCACAGGACTCCTGACCAGCAAAATATGATCAGTCATGAGGGTGTCTTCACCAAATTAAACTTCAATAACAAAAATATATAATGGGAACAAGTCAACCATGTCCTAAATGAAACAAGCTGGGAAGATATCCTAAACAACACGGATCCGAACCTTTGCTTAAAAAAATTAACTCTGTGGCACTTGAGATTTGCTAGTTGATCAGATCCTGATCCACCACGAAGCCTGGGCGTTGATCCCCGGAACAATCTCCAGGTATACTCCAGGTATGTAGTACACAGGACAGTGACCTTGGCCTCAATCAACTTCGCAGGATTATTACAGACTCGTGTGTGGTTGAATATCGCAATAGATTCTTAAGCTATCCTTACTGAATACTAGTGTTGAGTAATTCAAATATTTAAAGGTTTGCCCGTCTGGCCGACGGGCAAACATACTCTTAACAGTCCGTGAATTCTTAAAAGCAACTAGTATATTGAGTGTCGTTAGGGCATTCACCAGAACTAATGAAGTCTCATTCTCATGACATTACTAAACAAAGGCGATTAAAAGTAGAAGTATTTATCCAATATGGACGTGGACGAGGATCCTGTCATGAAAAATAGAGAATACTGATGTCTTGCAATGAAATGTTTTCATCGTGTTACTCGCTTTACTCAAAATTTTCATGGTAAAGGAAATGGGCTCTTAGAAAGCCAAACAGATCCTGTTCATTTATATTGGAGATGAACGAAAAGCGATGAAAAATGGTTGGATGGGTAAGCCAGTGAAAGGCCTCGGTCAGATGACCAAAAGCTCCAACAGCTGATCATCACATAACTGAGACCCGCGTCTGGAAACACATGACCTGCTTCCCGACCAATTTGACCTTACCTAGCAAGAAGGAGAGACAGAGGATTTATAGAAGGAAAAATCTGCGGTTCCTTATCAGTTGAATGGAGCTTCGTCTTGACAGGAGGATGGAAGGATGGAGAGAAAACATTGATGCCTCTACCTGCCTATCTGATGACTGTACCTCCCTAAGCTTTGACTTAAGAAATCGTAATGACACGATTGCAAATAAACCCATACCCTTCACTGCCGTGACGGCAGTGAAGGGACTTGAGCTAGAGTTCGTCACGGCCACGCTAGCTGGAGATTCGTCTGTAAAAACTTGCATTTGTGGTCACAGAGGTGCCTGTGCTAACTTTCCTATGGTGTAGAAATATACCTAGTTGGATGAATCTTATTGTGGCTAGCTGGTCTAGTGGCTAACGCGACGGGCTGGAGTTTTGAGACTCTATGACCGCGGGTTCAATCCCGGCCGGGGGTATGGTTCCCTAAGCTTTCCTATACCTACCAGCCATCATAGATCCCAATCTTAAAGAATCTGATATCATTCTAAAATCCAACATAGAAATTGTTCATAATCTTTCCCTTGACGATAAGTAGTTGATTCAATGTTAATTTCCAGTAAGATTTAGTGGACTGATAATACTTAAAGCCTTGCAAATTACCTTGCAAGCCTTAGTCTTCGCCCCAGTATCAAATGAATTTGTAAGCAAATTCTACCGGACCAACAGAGTGATTTAGAGATGAGTACAAATAGGTGAGTACACACACACACACACGATTTATCTATCTGTATATATATATATATATATATATATATATATATATATATATATATATATATATATATATATATATATATATATTATATATATATATATATATATTGTAACCAGTTGACATTTTTTTGTCAGAGAGAACATTTAAAGCCTCAGATTCATCAACTTTGTGTGCAGCTCTCACGTGTCACTCATAAAACTAAACCAATACTTTCCTCCTCCACAGGCATCACGATTCTGTACAGGAAACCCACTAAAAAACCGCCCAATCTATTCAGCTTCCTGTCACCGCTTTCGTTGGACGTGTGGCTATACATGGCCACAGCGTACCTTGGTATCTCCTTGCTTCTCTTCGTGCTAGCAAGGTCAGACACATCACTCTTATGATATAAAGGTGACTTTACACCTCCAGGTGGGAGGGATAATAGTGAAGATGTCTTCCTTGTGGTTGTTAATGGTGCTTGTTTATGTGATTTTTACCTGACTATTGCTTGATTTAATCATCCCTATCATCGTAGGCCGGATAAGTATTTTTAATGTATGAAATCTGCATCCACACGACTTCTGTAACTCAAGATATCTGTTTACTGTTTACCTTGATGAAGAAGATATTAATATATGTATGCAAAACAATCACTGTGAAAGGATAGTGAAATTCCAAGCGCTTTCGTGACTTCTCACATTATCAAGGAACTATATAGTTCCTTGATAATGTGAGAAGTCACGAAAGCGCTTGGAATTTCACTATCCCTTCACAGCGTTTTCTTTTTTTTGCATATTGTGATATTGCTTGTTTACTGTGATCTTATTGCATATATATATATATATATATTATATATATATATATATATATATATATATATATATATATATATATATATAAAAATATATATATATATATATATATATATATAATATACTTCTAACTCATTTTGATACGTGCGATTTGTAATTTTCAATATTTTTTTTTCAAGTATCACTTGGTTATTTTATCCTTAAACACGAAGTTTAGTTCCTTCAGTCCCACCAAATAATAATTTAGCGAAGCACTGTTGTAGTTTACTGATTCCTATAATACTCTAGTGCTGCATGCTCAAGAGATGATATAGTTATGGAGTGGTTGGTGCTTTTGTTCATTGAGTGTATGAAAGAAGGGAAGGTACCTAGGGACTGGCAGAAGGCATGCGTAGTTCCTGTGTATAAAGGCAAAGATGAAAGTTATCGTTACTTTATGAATTTAGGGAAAGGTGGATATTGGGACCGAAGGCAATTTGGCAGATGTTGCAAGTGTATGGAATAGTTGAAAGTTTTCATGGGGATAATGAAGCTAAGGTTGGGGTTTAAGGAGAGAGGGTGATTATTTTCCATTGAAAGTAGTGCTTACAGAAGGAAGTGTAATAACACATTGGTTGTTTAACATTTTCATATGGGATTGTAAGAGAAGTGTATGAGTTGCTGTTGGGGAGAAGTGTGTGATTAAAATATAATGAATCTAATATAACGCAAGTTTTCTTGCAATTGCTTTCTACTGGATATACTGCACTTTAAAGAGATTCTGAATGTAAGTTGAGAAGGTTGGTGGACGAATTTGGAGAGTATGTATGAAAGAAGGAATTAAGAGTGAACATAGGAAGGTGCAAGGATAACGAAAAACTTAAGTATTGAAAGATTTAATATTAACTGGAGGAGAGAGAACAGAGGAAGTTAATGTGTTTATATACATGGGTTTGAGTTTGTTGACAGATGAATCTGTGAAAGACGAACTGAACCATTGAATTGACGAGAGGGAGAAGGTGAGTAGTGCACTGGGGCGTTTGTGGAAATAAAGAACATTATCCATGGAGGTAAAAAAAAAGGAAATGTATCAGAGAAAAGAGATACTAACACTTTTATATAGGAACAAAACATTTGTTATTAAACATTGCAGCGAGAAGGAGGCTGGAGGCAGTGGAGATGTGTCTGAGTCTGGAGATAAGAAGCAGGTGCATTTGAGCTTATTTTGAAGGTGCATCTGAGCTTATTTTGGAGGTGCATCTGAGCTTATTTTGGAGGCTCATCTGAGCTGTAATGTCGGCGCGCCTCAGGCAAGACAGTGATGGCGTGAATGATGGTGAAAGTGTTTCTGTTGATTTCGGGTCATCCTACCTCGGTGGGTAACGGCTGGTTTGTGAACAATCCTTCCTGAAGCCTCTACTACCACCCCATCCAAGAGCATCCTCATCGGAGCACCACTGGGTCATCAGGCCATTCACACAGTCCTCAAGGACAAAATGAATGACCTAAAGAGTATGGAGGAGAGAATAAGTGATCTTGATGCCCATGATGCCCAGTATCTCTTCACAAGGTGTCTTACCTTGCCAAGACTCACTGCTTGAGGTGTGCAACCACTTTCGACAACCCAACACTTACCGAATACGACTCACTTCTGAGATCTATCTGTAAACAGTCACTGACTCTATCACTGGAAGATCAGCACCGGGATCAGGCAACTCTCCCAGTGCGACTGGGAGGTATAAGGGTGCGCAAGGCAACACAGGTAGCTTTGCCTGCATTTCTCTCCTCGTGTATGGCTTCCAATGGACTAATCCGGGAGGATTGCCCCCGAGCGTTTGAGAGGTGCGGTAGGAGTTCAAGACCCCAGGTTCACTGAAACAGTCACGCGGTTGGACACCCTTATAAACCCCTCAAGCAGACCAGCTCCTCCCAAAGAGCACAGTCTCACTGGGACAAACCGATCATGGAAAAAATCCAACACAATGCTCACCAACACTTCAGGAAAATACGAAGATCGTGTCCCAGCGGTGAAGGCACATCGTACAGGAGATTTCCTTTTAGCTGTTCCCAACTCTACTCTAGGCACCCGACTCGACCCACTGGCCATTCGGATAGGTATTGCTCTTCGCCTAGACGCCCCAGTACTTACCGGACATAGGTGTATTTGTGGCAGGGCGACGGCTGATCAATTCGGACTTCATGGTCTCGTGTCATACATCAGTGATATTTAATCAGTAACTACACTGGGGCTAGCCATATGTCCTCGGATCAAGTCGTATATCCTCAGATCAAGGTAAAACACCTAGCTCTGCTGGGTGTTTGATTCTTGTAGAATTTGGTGGTCCTGCGGGTTAGAGCGTCAGTGATTTTCGCTCACCATGAGGCGGCCCAAAACGAAATGGGTTCGAGTCCTTAGCTAATCGCAGTGTTGTTATTGATTAAATACCACTCGTATATATATGTTACACAGGGTGTTTAGTGACTCTCCGTCGAGACTGACTTGTGAGAACTAATCTTTGATTACCCGAACTAATATTCACTGCGAGTGACTGTGCAGGTGACTGCCTCTGGCACTGTGCCTCTGGCACTGTGCCAGGTACCATGATCACTCTTGATCTTTCACACTTGACTGAGTTTTAGGTCTTGTTTCCACATTTCCAATTTTCATAGCCTATCTGTTGTCGAGATTTATTTCCAGTAGGCCCGTATCTGACGATTCCTGCAGTTTATCCGGGACCCATCAGTAACGTTATCGATTTTTCTTTTCATTATTTAATATCGTCGGAGAATAAGAATACAAATGACTGTCCAGCAGGTGGTTTTGTGCTTTATACAAGACCACAGACCTACATCCCAGTGGCTACCCCGTCTATCAGTATCCTGTCAACCAACAATAGAGGATTCATTACCAATGTTGGAAAGCATAGGCAAAGTTTCATGAACACTAGACGTCTCGTCATGATTGCTGTACTTGAAACATTGTTGGGTGAGGAGAGACAGGCAAGAGCAAGGAGGTGTTGCTGTGTGCTTCTCTAAAGGTGTATATGCCCATCCCATTGATGTTGCCATCCCTACTCACCTAGAAATGTTGTTCTTTAGGGTATAAATTAACGCTAGTACCTCTATACTAACATGTGCGATGCACAGACCTCAGTGGCAACATTCAGACCCCATCAACTTCCTAATGGAAAATATGGACTCCTGTTTCATCACAGATGTCAACATGTAATTGTTAGTGTCCTCGACCAACATCTTATACAGAGGAGGGATTTTGAAGACGTTCCGGCAGTGTTTGACATGAGAAGGCACAGTTACATGCCTATCTCTCTACTATGTTAGGTTGTCTGATCACAAGGCTGTTTTTACAACACTAAAGATCCAACAGAACGAGGTGAGAAATCTTCACCTACAACCAGGCTGTGGGAAAGAGGAAACTGGCCAGCCCTTTGCTCTGAGCTCACCACCTCCGATTGGAATGTTCTTCTCCAAGGTGATGTAGGCAACCAAATGATTGCCTTCACATTTCCGTAATCTACAACAAGAACACATCCCTCACCGGCAATATATAACGAAGCCTACAAATCAGCCTTGGTTCGGCTTTCGTTGTAGAGAGGCTGCTACTGCTAAGTACAAGGCTTGGAGAAGATATGGGAGACATCCCACTACCTATAACAGGAACCTGCATAGGAAAGCCTGTAGGCATAAGGGTGAAGTTCAAAAGTGGGCCATCTCTAAATGGAAGGCTGACACAAAATTAGAGCTGGCATCAGGAAGAGTAGGCTCCAAAACCTGGTGGTTCCTGGTCAAGGACGGAAAAGGTTATTAGCCTGGTGAACTTATTTTGCCTCTAAATGGACAGGATGGGACCACCTCTACTAGAAGTCAGGAAAAAGCCGATCTATTTGCCGAACACTTTGCTGCCAAGATGCAAGTTAATGATCCAGCAAGGGACCCTCCTTGGCTAGCTGCAAGAACTGTGTCAAAGCTGTCAGTGATGTCAATAAAGGAGGAGGTGAATCTTCTCCATAAATCGCTGGACCAAGAAAAAGCTCTCGGCCCAAGTTTGCTGAGTAGATGTGCAGACCAGCTAGCAGAACCTCTAACTCGCATCTATCAGCGTTGCCTAGCAGAGTGTAAATGGTCCTCTTTGTGGAAAGAGGCAAATGTAATATCTGTTCACAGAAAGAAGAGCAGATCGGAAATCATTAACTACTGACCAGTGTCATTCTTATCAATCACTGGCAAGATCCTTGAGACAATAATCTCACGGCAAATGACAAAGTTTCTCGACTACCATTCACTTCTTTGTGACCGTCAATATGGCTTCAGAAAAGGTTACTCTGCTGTTGTTCTGTTGTTAAACCTCTCCACTAAGTGGCACCAGTCACTGGATGAATCCAAAGTCAGCTGTGTGGTAGCACTAGACATTGCTGGTAGTACTTTCAACCGAGTATGACTCAAGTGACTCTTGGCAAAACTTCAAGCACTGGGAACTGCAGTCTCTACACTATGTCTCCTCAGTGATTACCGTCAAGGTACATCTACAGAGTCAGCAAGACATCCTACTGGGGCAAGTGTTCCACAGGGAAGT